TCATTTTCACTTGACCAGAGAAAGACAGGAACACAGAGAGAAGGAAAGTGAGAAAGCAAGACACCACGTCCAAGACTTGAACCGTGGTCACCATGTGGGAGTGTCCAGCGCCTTAACCACCATACCACCTGCTGACCCTATTATTGTTATTTTTAACTCGACCAGAGAGAGACAGACAGAGAGAGAGAGGGAAAATGAGAAAGCAAGCCTCTAGCTCTGGGAGTCGAACTGTGGTTGGCCATGTGGGAGTCCAGCACTTCCACCACCACACCACTTGTTGGCCCCCTGATTCTGTTCTGATTAGCGGATCATACCTTTGTTTTTTTAAAAGAAAATTAATTAAATTAATTTTTGTTTGTTTTTGTTTTTTAAATTGCTACAGGACATGCATGCTCACTAGAGGGAGACAGAGACAGACAGAGAGAGAATGAAAGAAAGCAAGTCTCCAGGTCTGGGATTTGAACCTCAGTCAACCATGTGGGAGTCTAGCTCTCAAACCATCATGCCACCTTCCAGCCCCAATTTTATTTATTATTATTTTTTCTTTAAATCTTTTTTGCTTTTTTAGAGAAGGATTTTTGCTATAGGTTGTGTGTTCTTGCTAAAGAGACAGAGAGAGGGGCCAGCAGATGGCATGGTGGTTGGAGATGCTGAACTCCCACAGGCTGACCATGGTTCGAGTCCTGGACCTGGTGGCTTGCTTTCTCACTTTCCCTCTCTCTCTGTTTCTTGCTGGTCAAATTAAAACAAACAAATACATAAAGTTAAATAAAATAATTCTGTATAAAAAATAAAATAATAAAAAGAGAGAGAGAGAAAGTGAGAAATTCCCCTCAACACCCCCCCTCCGGGGGAGGATGGCCACACCTCAATCCCTTTTCCTCCACTCTCCTCTTGGGACTTTGGGCATGCACGCACATATGCCTGCTGTGAATTTCAAGCTACTAGGTCTGGGACTCAAACCATGGTCAGCTATGTGGAGTCCTGCACCTTAACCACTATGCCACCTGCTGGTCCCTTATTATTTTTTAAAATTTTACTAAGGGGGAGAGAAAGACAGAGAGAGACAGAGAGAGAGAGAGAGAGAGAGAAAGAAAAAAAGCAAGCTGCCCGCTCTGGGACTTGAACCACAGTCAGTCATGTATGTGGGAGTCCAGTTCCTAACCACCATGCCACCTGTCAGCCCCAATTTTATTTATCATTATTTTTTAAATTCTTTTTTTTTTTAAAAAGAAAGATTTTTGCTATTGTGTGCATGTGCTTGCCAGAGAGACAGAGAGAGAAACTGAGAAATCACCCATCAGGAGGAAGGCCACACTGCAATCCCTTTTCCTCCATTCTCTTCTCAGGATTTTGGGCATACAAGTTTCAAGTCTCCAAGTCTAGGACTTGAACCATGATCAGCCAACTGGGACTCCAGTGCCTTAACCACCATGCCCCTGCAGTCCCCTTATAACCGTTTTTTAATTTCATCAGAGAGAGATCTAGAGAGACAAAGTGAATTAACAAACTGCCAGGTCTGGGACTCGAACTGTAGTCAGCCATGTGGGAGTCCAGTAGCTTAACCTCTATGCCATATGCTGGCCCTAGTAGATCATACTTTTATGTAATTTTCTGAAGTTAAAAAAAAAAAAAAAAGGTGGGACCAGCAGATGGCATAATGGTTACGTTGCTGGACTCCCACATAGTCGACATGATTCGCGTCCTGGACACTAAGGCTTAAAACTCACTCAGGGCATGTGTGCATGCATACCAAAGATCCCGAGCAGAGACTGGAGGAGAAGAAATTGTGGCGCGGCCATCCCCCTACAAGGTGATTTCTTATCTTCTGTCTATCTCTCTTTGTCTCTCCAGTAAGCACACACACCCTAAAGTAAAAATCTCTCTTAAAAAAAAAAGCCCCAAAGATCTTGGCCCCTTCACAACTTCTCAGTGTATTTGATGGTGCTCTTAGTTCTTCCTAATGTCCCCACTAACGTCTCAGCAGTGGTCAGCTCCTACCCATCTTCTGTAGGTTATCCATAACCCTGAGGCAAGCCCTGCTCTTCTGTGTCGCTGCTCAGCAGCCAATCCCTGCGTTGGGGGCTCCCCTCCCATGGAGAGGCTGGGCCCCAGAGGGGAGAGGCACCCATCCTCCCCTTCCCAAGCCAGCCTGGGTATGGCTTGTGCCACGTGGGAAAAGCAGTAACTGCAGATTGAACAAGGAAATGGGTTTTCACTCTGCAGGCTTCACACAGACAGAGCAGGGGTGGTGGCTCTTCAGGAGGTCACTCGCCAGCCAGGCCTGGAGGCCAGTGGACAAAGGCCAGTCCAGGGATTTGGATGGACTGGATTTGCTCCTGGGTGAGGGTGCGGGATCACAGGCAGAGAAACAAGGTGGGGCTGAGGGAGGCTCCTGAGCTGCAGTCAGCTACGTGGGAATCCAGCACTATCACCGTTACGCCATCTGCTGGTCCCTTAAAGTTATTATTGTTTGTTTGTAAAGAATTATTTATTTATTTATTTTATTTTTTATTTATTTTGACCAGATAGATACAGAGACAGAAAGAGAAAGAGAAAGTGAGAAAGCAAACCGCCAGGTCCAGGACTTGAACCACAGATGGCCATGTGGGAATCTAGCACCTCAACCACCACACCACCTGCCAGCTCCCCTTTAGAATTACTTTTATTTAATTTTACTTATTATTATTATTATCTAATTTGACCAGAGAGAGAAAGTGAGAAAGCAAGTTGCCAGATCTGGGACTCAAATTGCAGTCAGCCATGTGGGAGTCTAGCACCTTAACCACCATACTACCTGCCAGTCCCCCCAAATAGAGAACTTTTAAAATTTAAAAATAGTATTAATTAACCCATTATATGTGAGCTTTGTGATTATATATGTGTGTGTGTGAGTGTGCATGTATTTTTTTAGAAAAATAATTATTTTCCACACTCCAAAATATTTAATGACAGGTTTTTTTTTTTTTTTAATAATTTTTTTTTTAAAAATTTGCTACAGGGTGTGTGTGTTTGCTGGAGAGAGAGAAAAGAAGTGAGAAAGCACCCTGAAGGTGGATGGCCACGCCACAATCTCCATTCTCCTCTTGGGATTTTGGACACGCTCGTGCATGTGCCTGGCATGCTTTCTTTTTTTTCAAGCCACCGATCCAGGACTAACGGTATGTCAGCCATGGGGCATCCAGCCGCCTTCACCACCACACCAACTGGATGGCAAAGAGTGGCATTTTTTTACATTTTGGCAGATATCTTTTTTTTTAAGAACTATTTTATTTAACTTTATTTATTTTAGTTTAACCAGAGAGGGATAGAGTGTTAGAGAGACAGAGAGAGAGAGAGAGAGAGACAAAGTGAGAAAGCATGTTGCCAGTTCTCGGACTCGAACCACGGTCAGCCAGGTGGGAGTCCAGCGCCTCCAACCACCATGCCACCTGCCAGCCCCTTGTCAGATATCTTTAACATCTGTCATAACAGACAGCTGGGTTCCCCTTTCTACTTCTGTCCATTGCACTGTCACCTGCTGAGTGGCTTTGGGGAGATTCCACTATACTAGTGAGAGAATAAGGGTGAGAAAGGTACATTGTGTCTTGTAGTGAGGAAATAGTGTGGGCCACTAGAGCAGTGTAAGGGTGTCGGGGTTCCCCAGGAATCCTCTGATGGAGAGCAGGGGTCAATAAGCTATTCTCTCAGGGCCAGATAGTAAATATTTTCAGCTTTTCGGCCTCTGTCTTGGCTATTCAACTCTGCCAAGGCATCAGAAAGGCAGCCACGAGTAGTACTTCGACAAGGCCATCTCGTGGCCTGGTGGTTAGGGCAGCCAGCTCTCACACCGACCACGAAGTTCAATCCCTAAATCCGGCAGCTTGAGAAACACGCTGAGTGCATATGTGTGCATGCCCCAACTCCCGAAAGGTGGGAGAAATGGAGGAGAAGGGATTGTGGTGTGACCATTCCCCATGGAGAGGGGCTGCCTTCTCACCGTCCCCTCTCTCTGGCAAATGCATGGACCCTCTGGCAAAATTTAAAAGTAGTGATAATAGTACTTCAACAAATGGGTGTGGCTGTATTTCGATAAAACTTTATTTACAAAAACAGATGGAGGCTAGATTTGGCCCCACTTGTGCAGTTTGCCTATCTGTGATCCAGATTGGAACAAGCTTCCAGGGCCCTGGGTTTAGGCGGGTGTCACAAAAGGGAAAAGACTGTCATTTCACAGGGAGAGAAAAGGGTTTTCTCAGAGAAGACTATCTTCTATTTCTAAATACTCTCCTTCCCGATGAGGTGAAATCCACCGTCTCCACCATGATACTTAGACACCCCCGCACTCCTACAGCCCGTCTAAGCCTCTGCTCTGCCCACTGCTGCTCGTCGGGCCGCAGAGCACACAGGGAAGGGGGGCAAGGACGTCTTCCTCACCGTCTCTGCCTCCCCCCACCTTGAGTCCTGGGTACATGGGGATGGGGCAGGTGGTGAAAGGAAGCCAAGTGGACCAGGACCATCCCTCTGACTCCCGAGCCAGACCACCTGGTATCATTTCCCATCCATGCTCCTGTTTGCTTTTGGACCATCCCACATAGCCTGGTCCGTACGGAATAAAAGCTGTTGTCAGACGCGAAACTCAACTGTCTCTGCTGCTTCCAACTGCTTGTGTCCACCCCACCCCCTGGGAATAAGTCTCCCAGGAAGCAGGTTTTCTTCCTCTGCTGCAGACAGAAGAGGTTACTCCTGACTCTGGTTTATGGGTGGATCTGGGTCTCCAACATGACATTTCTTTTTTTTTTTTTTGAGAGGTTTTCGCTACAGGGCACGTGCGCTCACCAGACAGACAGAGAGAGACAGAGAGACAGAAAGTGAGAAATCACCCCCCCAGGGGGATGGTCACGCCACAATCCCTTCTCCTCCATTCTCCTCTCGGGATCTTAGGCATGCATACACATGCGCCCGGCATGAGTTTTAAGCCACCAGGTCCGGGACGCGAACCGCAGTCGACTACATAGGAGTCCAGCGACATAGCCATTACGCTAACTGCTGGTTTCCCCAACATGACATTTCTTCATGACAGCACGGGTTGTCAAGGAGGAGAGACCCAGTCCCTTCTATGGTTTTTGCCATCCACCCCTGGGCCTTCCTCCCCGGGCTCACCCTGCTCCTGCCAGTCACTGTGCTCCTGGCCTGACTGTGCTGTCCAGCTGGAGGAGAGGGCCTCTGGTCCTCATGGCACTGTCCTGCATTGAGGAGACCAACTTACCTGGAAGGAGCCCCAGGCAACCTTTGAAACTCATAATGACAGGCCTTGCCCCTCCTCAGCCTCCACCAACTTTATCCTTCTTTGCCCCTTTTATCTTCTCTGCCAGGGTGATGTGGTCACTCCCAGGGGTCTGACATTCCTGGGGCAGGGAAGCTCCAAACCAAAGTCTACTCAGTTACCAGGAGGACCTCCATTCTCTTGGGGAACCCCCAGTGCAAACCCCCAGCCAGTGCCTTCATCCCCAGAAAGACACCATGTGCCTTTAATCCAGCGGGATTCATGGGTAAACTCTTTTTACCATCCTCGCGGTCAACCAGGAAGGTACTGCTACTTGGCTTTAAAAATAGAACATTCTAGCTGGACTTTTATGGTCTTGTGAAGAACGCTGAGCTCATGCCCTCCCACACCTGGTCTCTGCCCTGTTGGCCCTGTCCAGCTGCCCAGAGCAGCTCTGCACAAGCTCTCCGGGGACCCTCAGCAGAGACGCGGGCCCAGGCAGATTTATGAGTTCGGCCTTGGCTGAGGCCTCCTCTGCGTGGCTCCCAGCCATAATCCAGCAGCTCTCCCACACCCCAGCAACTCGGGGCTGGGACGTCCTGTGTCTCCTCGTCCACCTCCACCCCAACTGACTGAGTCACCCCCTCAGCCGCTTTCATGCTACCCTGGCCAGTCTGTGGAGGAGCGAGGCTCATCATGCCCAAACCCAGACCCCAGCTACTCCCAGACTGCCCGACCTCATTTGTACTCACGGTGACATGAAGGCTTGTGTCTAAGGATAACCCTGCTGGGATTCTATCTGCCTCTCCCTCCACTTCTCACCTGGAGGTGCTGAAATTTAACACAAAACCGGTTACTTCCCTGTCTGGACTTCACGGGCCAGGTGTAAAGCTACATCTGATCTGGAAAGTTCATCTCCGTGGGTGTGGACTCTCTGGTGAGTCTGCAAGTGATTTCTTCGGGGCCAGAATTCAGTGCCATTAGAGCTCTATCCCACTTTTAGGCCCCTAGAGCAAGACTTGGGGAGTGCCAGGGCGGACGGTCCTTTGGGGAGGGGCTGGCCCTAGGGAGCACCTAGACATGGCAGTAATTCTAGAGCAGGGAGCAGGTGAACTCAGGTGAAGCCTATACACACAACCTGCCTCGCCCAGGCCACGGCTGTCTTCCCTGGAGGTGAGGTTTCTAACAGAATGGAAAGAAGAGACTGTAATTATCATCCCTGGAAAAGATGCACATTCTTCTTTTAAGGTCCTTCAAGGGTGTAATTGAGTTGACCAATATCCTTTACTTCAAGGCCTTCAATTGCTGCTCAGGTCAGTTAGGGTAACGCCGCCTCCGGGATAAGATCTCAAAGCAGGCATCTGGGACTACCCAAAGTCTCTTTGGAAACTGGAATGTAAGCAACGTTAGTTTTATGGCTTAACCTGTAGCTCTAACTCATGTCAAGAAAAGAGTGGAAGGGTGCAGGGCCCAGAGAGGGAGGAAACGTGGTAATGAGGGGCTGCTGGGGGGACTGCTACAGACGGGAGTCCCAATTCCTCACTGCCTCTTCCACATCTGGAGCAATGACAAAGCATATTCTCTTGTTCGGGTGGCCCTCGGGCAATGCCACCCCTGCCCCGAACTGTTCACACTTACAGTTGCCCTCAGGCCTCCTGGCTTTTCCATCAGGTCCTGGGGTTGCTGCCATCCTAGGCCCTACCCTCTGCGTCTGCACTTCTAACTTCCTGCTCCCTGTAGGGGGTTGTCGGAATCTTAGGGGAGAAAGCGAGGGGTGGAGCCCTAATTCAGCTTGGAACCCAGAGGACCTCCTTCCTCTCCCATTTCCCTGTAGCTGCCACAGAAGAGCTGCTGGCAAGTCCCCTCTGGTGTCAAGGACGAGGCTCTCCATCCTGGGTCCCTCCATTACGGAAGGCCCACTGCTTTGCTTGACCTGTGTGCTGGTCTTTGGGAGCTGAGCTTGAGTCAGACCTGATGGCTGAGTCAGGGACAACAGGGAGGGGCCCCAGAAGACCCAGCACCCTGAGCATGAGTCGCAGTCTAAGAGAAGGTGAGTGGGGTGATCATTTGTCCTCAAGAGCAGGCGAGAGTGGCTTGATGAGGATAGTATCTGTCCCTCCAGGGACTTGGGACCCCGCCTCTGGATCTACTGTTCTTTGGTCTGAGGCAGTGGCTGGGGTGGAGTCCATGTCAGAGGAGCCCAGGCCTCCAGCGTAGAGACGAGACCGCATTGGCCACTTCTGTAAGACACAGCATAGGACGTGGGTGACACACAGTCATTGTGGCCCTGCGTTGTCCAGAATCTTGGACACCCCAAATCTGGCCTTCCTTAACACCCTTGCCTGACACCCACCTCCAGCCCCCACTGCTCTGGCCCTGCACATTCTCCTGGCCACCCTGGGCCTGGCTGCGGACACCGGAGGAGCCATCTGCAGAGAGTGAGGGCCCCGAGAGGAGGGATCCTCAGCTGAAAGGGGAGCTGGATAGGGGGTCGGGGGCCTGGGCAGAGCTGGCGATAGCCAGGGCCTAGCCAATGAGCAGAGCAGTGGAGTCGGGACTCCCTTTAGGCTCAGGTGCTCCGAGGATTGTCCATCCTTCCAGCTGAGCAAGATCAGTCCCAGAAAACCCCGGACTGACTCTGCCCTCCTCCCTGACAGCCCCTCCACCAGGGGTCGAGGGTGTGCTCTTGGGCTACCACTCGCCCACCAATCTGCTAGAGTCCTAGACCCAGGCCACTGTGTTCAGTTCTTCAACATTTTTATTGATCACCTACCAGGTGACTGCACCCATTTTACAGCTCGGGAAACTGCTCTGCCACCCCAGACCCCGTACCAGGTGCTACCATCAACATTTTAGAGTTGCCTCACTAGCCCCAAAGTTCTGCATTTTAGTTACATTGCATGAAAGAAGGAAGAGGAGAAGGAGGGGAAGGAGGAGGAGGAGGAGGAGGAGGAGGAGAAGAAGAAAAGAAACTCCAGTTTCAATCAGAATGGGACCAGCAATTAGCGTAATGGTTATGTCGCTGGACTCCCATGTAGTCAACCGTGGTTCAAGTCCTGGACCCGGTGGCTTAAACTCACGCCGGGTGCGTGTGCGTGCGTGCCCAAGATCCCGAGAGGAGAATGGAGGAGAAGGGATTGCGGCGTGACCATCCCCCCTGGGGGGTGATTTCTCGCTTTCTGTCTCTCTGTCTCTGTCTGTCTGGTGAGCGCACATGCCCTATACCAAAAACCTCTCCAAAAAAAAAAAAAAAAAAAATTCAGAACTATGACATTTAGGGGAAAGAAATGGTGAAAAGTCTCCTCCATAAAAATAAAGTTGGTCCCACTACAATGTTACCTTCAGAGGGCAAAGGTGACCCTTCTCTTTTAAAGAATTCTTTTAAAGAATTTTTAATTTAATTTTATTTATTGTTATTATTTTAAAAAATTGCTAGAGGGCACATGTGCTCACTAGAGAGAGACAGAGAGAGGGGGAAAGTGAGAAAGCAAGCCACTAGGTCTGGGACTTGAACCGTGGTGGGCCATGTGGGAGTCCAACACCTCGAACACCACTTGCTGAACCCAGCCCTTCCTTTTTAACATAGCCATTCTCTTCACCCAGCAGCGTGGGAGGGGGTGGGGTGTGTGAGGGAGCAGAGACTGTCATTACGGGGCCTGAAGTCAGACCTACCCCGGTCCAAACCATTTAGCCACTTCACCTCCCTAAACCTCACTGTCCTCATCTGTAAAAAAGTAATCCTCATTTGGTTCCTGTATGGATTAAAAGATAAAAATGCAGGATCAGCAGTTAGCATAATGGCTATGTCGCTGGACTCCCATGTAGTTGACCTTGGTTCAAGTCCCGGACCTGGTGGCTTAAACTCACTCCAGGCACATGTGCGTGCGTGCCCAAGATCTCGAGAGGAGAACGGAGGAGAAGGGATTGTGGCGTGGCCATCCCCCCTGGGGGGTGCTTTTTCACTTTCTGTCTCTCTCTGTCTTTCTGGTGAATGCATGCGCCCGATAGCAAAGACCTCTCTAAAAAAAGAAAAAGAAAAAAAAATATATAAAAATGCACTAGAACACTTAGCTCAGTTCCCAGCACAGCTTTAGCACCCAAATAATGTTAGCTATTGTGGGGATGGTGACTATCGCTAATTCTACTTTTCATTCATAATCTTATTCTGTACTTTGAAAGAGAGATAAGACTCATGTTAATTTCTATTTTATAATATAATAAAACTGAGGTTCAGGACATTGAGGTCACAGTCTGGCAAGAGGTGCATGCAGAAAGCCCCCACCCGGCCCAGCCTCCCCGGCCTCTCCCCCACACCGCTGACCCCTGAGCCTCGTTGCTTCTGCAGTGATGCCAATTTAGACCACGGTTCTACCGAAGGGCAGGTCTCCTGGCAGCAGGGGCCCAGAGGCAGGCTCCGTACAGCGGGGCGAAGCTGCACTGGGATCCAGGACTCTCCTGGGAGCAGCTTCCTTTCCCAGGCCCCAGCCCTGGAAGCTGCTCCTTTCCCTCTGACACCAAGAACCTCAGAGTCTTTCCCTCCTCTTGAAGGAACTGCATTCTCATGAAGCCATTTCCAGCCATCACCCACGAGAAACACGGGGTCAGCCTAGTCCCAAGAGAGCCAGCCTTGACTCCTTTCCCTCTGAGACAGCAAGAAGTGCCCTGGTGTCAGCTCTGGCCAGGGCCAGGGACCCAAGTCCAGTGTCCCCCAGATCAAGGGCCTGGTCAGTAAGCTCCTTTCTGTACCCAAGTCCCTGGGCCTGTGACCTACCTTGAGAGGGTGCAAATAGCAGAGTCCATGCAGGAAGGGTGGCCAGGCGGGGCCGGGCAACTCGTGGCCAAGAGTGCGGGTGAGGTGGGCGATGTAGCTGCTGGCCAGCACCAGCACGTCCAACTTGGAGAGCTTGGTGTCAGGCGGCACCGCAGGCAGGGCGGCCTGCAGGGCCAGGAAGGCCTGGCGCAGCGTCCTCACCCGGCTCCGCTCCCGCGCGGCATTCTCAGGACTGGCCTCACTCTGCACAGAGGACCCTGGTGAGTGGGTCTGACCAGAACCCCCATCCGCCCCTGACTTCCAAGAGCATCCTAGTGGAGACCTCCCTGCCCGTAGGGAGTGCAGAGCAGAGACCACAGGTCCTCTGGCCGTCTTTTTTCCTCAGGACTGCCCAGTGGTATGGCGAGGAAATGAGGGAAGGCATAGTCTGGGGTCAGAGGGCAGCAGATGGCCAGGCTGGCTCAGAACCTGAGTCCTGCTCTCTGCTCCTCCACCACTGCTTCCTCGTAGCCCTCGCTCTACCCCCCATGAGAGCAAATCCTGCTTATCGTGGTGCCCTCGGGCCGTGGGGAGCCCAGAGTCATGCCCTGCTTAGGAGGGCTGACCCTCGACCCAAGCATTCCTGAGATGAAGAAGAGGCTGCTGTGGTAAAGAGGAGAGGACACCCACCAGGGGTCCGGACACCCACTAAAGGTCCAATCACCCAGGCGAGGTCCTGGTTAAGACTAGCTCTGAATTAACTCAGTTGTGGTGAGTTGGGGTCTAAGGGGCCAGCATTTCCTCTCCTGGGCAGTAACGGTGATACTGCGTGAGGATCTGCCATCTGAGGTGGCATCTCACTGCCCTGCACCCTTGCCTCCCCCGGCCTCCTTGGCAGGCCAAGGGTTGCCTTACCTTGGCTCTGGCGTCTTGAGGGCTAGGGGCAACCCTGCTCCGACTTCGGTAGCTCCAGCTGGTCTCTCCCCACAGGTCCTGCCTTGTCCTGCTGAGCCGGCTCCTCTTCCTGGCGGTGCCTGGCAGCAACCACAACTTGGCCTTAGCCTGACTGCGCCCCACTCCTGGCACTGTGGGTGCCCCTCGGGGCTCCTTCTGTGACATGCCACACCCCAGGTCCAGGGCTGCAGCCCGCAGAGCAGGAACACGGTGGCTGAGAGAACCCTTGGGCTCAGGCTCGCTGGGACGGGCTGGTCATCCCGCCAGCAGCGTCTCTATCTCAGGAAGCCGCGCCAGCTCAGCCCCGCTCCACTCCTGGCTCTGGGAAAGCCGCCCACCAGGCTCAGCCCCCGCGAAGAGCCTCAGCTGCCTTCCAACAGGACCAAGGAGTGGGGGCGCTGGATGCTGGGAGTGGCCAAGCCCTGGGAGAGGCCCATGATGAAGGAGGCAGGCGATGGGTGGAAAGGCACTCCCCACCGGGTCCTTGGACGGTGGTCCCGTGGTGGACCTGTGACTCGAGCTTCAGAGCTCAGCCCATGCAGGGCCCTGGCCACTTTCCTCCTTCCTCTGTGCTGGAAGGCTGCCTGGCGGGCCTTGCTTTCCCTGCCATGGGGCACCCTCTCCAAGGCCCAAGCGGGCCTCCCTCTTCCAAGCTAGGGCTTTTCCTTGAGCCTTTCCATGCCTCAGAGCACCTTCCTCTAGCTCTGCCAGGGGAATGCTGCCCATCCTTCGGGCTATGCCCTTCGTGTGTAAGGGCCTCTTCACACCCCAGAGTCCAGGGCCCGGGTGTCCTGCTTGACCGCATGACCACAGCCTGGCTCGTTTCCTAACAGTTCCGTGTTCATAGATCACTGTGTGCGTGTACTGTGTGACGCTCCTTGTGTGCGTTATCAACTTCCCAGAGCAGCCTTCTAGAGAGGGGCCGGGTGGCGGCGCAGCTAATGCCACTGGGCCCACGTGAGAAAGGTTCTGGGTTCGTATTGTCCAGGCTGGCAAAGACCGGGTGGGTCACAGCATGAAGGCCTTTTCGTTGGGGATACCTGTCTCTGTCTCTTCTCAAGAAGAAATAAACTTTAAAAAAGAAAAGAAAAAAGAGACCCATTGTAGAAATGGGAAAATCGAAATATGGAGAGGTAAAATGACTCACTCAGGCCAGCAAGTGGCATGGTGGTTAAGATGGTTGGATCCCACATGGCCAACCATGTTGTTCAAGTCCTGGACCAGGCACTTGAGAAACACCTGGTCACTTGTTTGCCCAAGTTTACATGCATGTGCAAAATCCTAAGAGAAGAATGGAGGGGGACTAGCAGGTGACGTAATGGTTATATTGCTGGACTCCATCGTAGTCAACTGTGGTTCGAGTCCCAGACCTAGAGGCTTAAAACTCACACTGGGATGGGGAACAGAAGGTGGCGTGGTGGTTGAGGCGCTGGACACTCCCACATGGCTGACCATGGTTCAAGTCCTGGACCTGGTGGTTTACTATCTCACTTTCCTTCCCTCTCTCTCTATCTCTCTCCCTGGTCAAATAAAAAATAAATGAATGGATTAAAAAAATTAAAATAAATAATTCTAAAAAGAAAAAAAAACCCCTCACACTGGGCACATGTGTGTGTGTGTGTCCCCAAAATCCCAAGAGGAGACTAGAGGAAAAGTTGCAGCATGACCATCCCCCCAGGGGGTGATTTCTCACTTTCTGTGTCTCTAGGGAGCGCATGTACCTTATAGCAAAAATCTCTCTCAAAAAAAAAAAAAAAAAAAAGGGAGAACAGAAGAGAAGAGATTAAGGCATGTTATCCCCCAGGGTCAGGTGGTTTCTCTCTCTCTGTCTCTCTCTGGCAAGCGCGCATGCCCTATAGTAAACTAAAATCAAAACAAAACAAAAAGGGTTGGTAGGTGACGTGGTGGTTAAGGTGCTAGACTCCTACATGGCTGACCACGGTTCAAGTCCTGGACCTAGTGGTTTGCTTTCTCACTTTCCCTCTTTCTCTCTGGTCAAATTAAATAATAATAATACTAAATTAAATTAAATTAAATTAAAATAATTCTCAAAGCAAAACAAAACCTTACCCAATGAAACATCTAGGATGTATGTGTGTGGGAGGAGGGTGTGAAAACTCAGGCAGTCAGATGGACTTGGGAAGCTACCCCTCACTCTACGCCATCCTGCCCTCCCTGGGTTACTCACGTGTCTGTTGTCATGCTAGACCTGAGGTTTTTGAAGGTAATGATGGTGAGGTTTGAGGAGGTGCACTCGGTCCTCCATGGAGCCAGTTTAGATGACAGAGGCTGAAGGAACAGCGATGGGGTGGCAGTTGCCCCGCCTGTCCTCAGATGACCACCTCTGCCTGCAGCAGAATCCATTGTGCATGTTCCTTGTTCTCTAGTCTCCCTCGAACTCCAAGGGAGGCAAAGTAGGTGAAGAGAAAGCCCAAGTGTGGACGCACACCCAGTGAGAGACACCCAACCAAGCAGAGAGGAGGGAGAAAAGAGACAGAGACACGACTCGACTGTCCATCAGTGGTGAAGGTAGTAGGTAGATTTTGTATATCCATACTATGGAATACTGTTCAGTAATAGAAAGAACGAGGCGGATTTCTGGAGAGACACACGAGAAAACTTTAAGGCATGTGATGGGTAAGAAAAAAACCTAGTCATAGATCAATATATATAAAACGTTCCAAATTAATGATGTAAGTATAAAGTTTTATGCACTTGTGTAAATATAGAAAGGAGACTGAAAGCACGTACACAAAATATTGCTTAAATTCCAGATGCCAAGGGCCGGCAAATGGCAAGGTGATTAAGAGCTCTGGAGTCTCACATAGCCGACTGTGGTTCGAGTCCTGGACATGGAGGCTTGGTTTCTTACTTTCCTTCTCTCTCTCTCACTCTGCCCCTCTCTGGTCAAATTAAAATGAATAAATAAATGAAGCTGAATAAAACAATTCTTAAAAAAAAATAAATCTTTAAAAAAAAGATGCCAGAATTAAACATACCCCTGTGTTGGGGTCACCTTGTCTCCTTTGGTATACACAGGGCTGCTCTTTTGCTTAAGAGACCAATTTCCTTTCCTTGCCTCCTCTCACTCCTTTCCTTCCATCTCTTCCCAT